TTCCTCATCATTGTCATCATCTTCCTGATCTTCATCTTCATCATCACCACCATCATCATCATCATCATCTTCTCTATCATCATCATCATCATCTTCTTCTTTATCATCATCATCTTCATCATCATCATCATCATCTTTATCATCATCATCATCATCTTCTTCTTTATCATCATCATCATCATCATCATCATCATCATCTCTGCTGCTCCTCAGTTCTCACAAACAATTTTAACTTTAAAAATAAGTTGCAATGTAAAGTTGGAAGGGGAGCGTCTATGTTAAATCCTCCTTGACTTTTCCCAATCCGGTACACTCTAATCTCCACTCCGAGCAACAAACTTCCGCATCTCCGTCTCTCTTATGTGTGTCAAGAGCGGATATGCATGGAATCTGCGCTGCGAGGCAATGAAGACGCGGATAGATTCGATCTTATCTTCAGCCTTTGAAGAATGACTCCTCACTCTAATTATTTCTAATGTGTCCTATATCATCAGTCCCCCCTGCAGACTCCACCTGGATAGGCTTGATCTCATTCCAGATTAGCCAACCTATATTTAACACTTCTACCGCCTAGATAAGCACTTAATATGCGTTTGATATCTAGTGCTGTGGAACATTTGCATGTTTACTTCTCACTGAAAGAAACTCGCTTCAGTTTCAGCCTTGACTTTATTTTGTTGAGCCAATAATAAGCTTGCTAATTGCTAAATCTTGCTAATTCTCCCACCACTTACACTTTTTAAGATCTGGAGCCTTTATTAGTTGAGTATGTTGTTCCTTTTTATATTTTTAGCACTTTTCCCAGTTTCCAAAGGAGAATTCCACCAAAAATGTCCAAATTTCTTTGTACTTCAATGGTTGAGATGTACACGAACTCATTCAGAGTGGTTTGATGTGAAATGTTTCCTTGTAGTGAAAACTAATGTACTTAAGTAAAATTAATTAATTAAAATTAATAAAAAACACCAGTGAAGCTACAGTTTCTAAATTTTAAATTTTATATTGATTATGCTAAAATAGTGGAAAATATTAAAAATTTACTTTTCTTTAGGGACTATTCTCCACCATCTGTCTTTATCATAAATCAATGACTCAGTCATCAGACAGTGTATTCAAAACCATTTCATGTAACAACTTTCTGTGAGGGAGGATTTAGAGGTATTAACCTTTTCAGATGTCTGGTTCCCATCACCAGTATGGATTGGTAAGGTTCTCTTTTACATGCATTTCATTTAGTACATTTGGTTACATCTCAATCTTAATTATGCAGAATTTTAAAAAATTGGTGGAATTGCCCTAACTCCAAATACACTTACAACTGAAGCCAATGAAAAGCCCACTGATTTCTATTATAAGCACATTGAGACATCAGTACAAGCAAACAAATTACCAAACTGGCCAAGGCAATTAAACATGAGCTCCAGATGCAGCAGATTGAGATTAGAAACCTCTGGAATAAAAGGAGAATTCCACAAACTTTTCAGATTTTCTGGACAATTAAATCATTAAAATGTAAACAAAGTCATTCAGGGTGGTTTAAAGTGATGTGCTCTGTTCTAACGCAGCACTATCCCAAACCACCAGTGATACTGCATGTCTGCATGAGTTTTAAATGTAACGCTAATGATGGTAAAATAGGGGTTAATCTAAATAAACCTATTTTCTTTGGGAACTATTTTGGCTTACAACACCCTGCGTGCACCTCTCCACCATGAATGGCCTTCAAAAAAAAATGCTTCAGGCCGAAACCTTGTCAAAACTTTAATACTACAACATCTCAGGCATTATTCATAACCATGTCGTGTAGTAACTTTCTGTGAGGGACCTCAGACTCTGAATGAGCTTGTATAAATTTTTTGGAATTTGTTGGAATTCCCCTTGACTCTAAATACACTTTTCAAAACTTCTGCAGAATTAAATGCTTAAGATGTGAACAGAGTCATTCAGAGTGGTTTGGTGTGAAACGCTTCGTTCTAGAGAAACTTAGAATTGTTCACAGTGGTGGTGATAGGAACCAGACGTCCACCTCTAAAAGCTCCCTCACAGAAAGTTATTACATGAAATGGTTATGAATTCACTGTCTGATGTCTGAGACATTGTTTTGTGATAGTTTTGCGTAGATTTTGGCCTTTATATTTTTTGGCCTTTATCGGCCTTTGCATAGATTTTGGCCTTTATTTTGGACTTATATTTTTTAAACCCATTCATGGTGGAGGAATACTTGCAGGGTGTTGTGAGGCAAAATAGCCCCAAAGAAAAACAATTTTTCAAATTTTTCAAATTTAGCCCTATTTTACCATTAATAATATTGCATATTAAAACTCAGAAGACTCGTGTAGGTTCACTGGTGGTTTTAGGCAGTAAATAAAATGGCTATATTTGTGTTGTAGTGATAGTGACCCCTGGTTCCTGTCACCACCACTGTAAAGAGATACGAGTCTCTACAATGAACCGTTTCACATCAAACCACTCTGATTAAATTACACAGTAAGTTTGAAAAAGAATCACTTTAGAATTGGAATTACCCTTTAACTCTACATTTTTGAGTTCACTGAGCCTCTGAAAGTCCAGACTTACATTGCTAACTGTGCAGTGTGTCAGGAAAGGCTTGAAAAAGACTTCGCTCACTAGTGCCACTAGGGATCTAAGGGAGAAAGTGTTGGCCTGCTAGCGCCCCATGCTGAGCAATGACTTTTACTCACCACCTTTACGGCACTGGAGACCGCCCGGCCAAACACGCACACATAGCTGCCATGCAGAGCCATTATTTTACCAAAGAGACCTAATTTCACCTGCCTGTCACTTTACAGCTCCTGAACGCCACTCACGCTAATGTAATTAGGCCTTGATTGAGCAATCGTTAGCAATTATCCCACTCTCTTCACGCCAGGTCGCTCTAATTACGTATAGCCATTGGGGCTGAGGTATATCACGGCAGCGGAATTAAAGCAGGTAATGGCTCAGAGCTGAAAGGGCTCTATCTCATGGCACTGAGGCACTGGGTCACCTCAATCAGGATCGTGGGTTACACTCATGGTACTGCTTGAGGTTCAGAGGGTCGCAAGGAATTTATATGTAGCACGATCATTATCATAACTGGAGTGCGAGTAAGAAAGAGTAAAAACCAGATTTGTCAAAGCTAACATGGGAACACAGTGTCACGGATGCAACACACCACTCTAATTAAGCACTAAAAGCTGCTTGAGCTCCACCTTGTGGAGGATCTTGAACCTGCTCAATGTGAGTGAGTGAGTGAGTGAGTTACAACCCTGTTGAAAAAAGACCATTGGAAACAATAAGGATGAAAGCCTTTTAATGGGAATTGGCTTAGTGGTTACCAGTAGTTTCCTGCTCTAGAACCAGTCTCAGAACACCTGTTAACCATTACAGTCCTTTAGATTGTGATATCAACCCATCAGGAACATTCAAAATACCGTTAGTGGCTATTGGACACCACCAGAAACTTTTAATGGTTTTTCGATTTTTTTTTTTTCAGCAGGAAATCCAGGTCCATGAGGTGGCGCTGCACTCGAAGGAGTGTTTGCTTTCGCCCTCCTAATGCTTGTGGTATCATGTGACTGGGGGAGTTAAAGTTTGACTGAAGAAACAAGCTACGCTGCTAAGCTATTTCTGTGGCTTGTGAATTAGCTTTCGCTCGCTAGTTCGTTTTTGCTTTCTAGTTAGTCTTTTTCACTCCCTAATTAGCTTTCACTTAGCTTTCACCTTCTAGTTTGCATTTACTTGCTAGTTTGCTTTCATTCACTAGTTAACTTTTGCCTGCTAATTAGCTTTTACTCACTTTTCACTCCCTAATTAGCTTTCACTTAGCTTTTGCTTGCTAGTTTGCCTTTGTTTGCTAGTTAGCTTTTACCCTTTAGTTTGTATTTACTTGCTAGTTTACTTTCACTCACTAGTTAACTTTTGCTTGCTAATTAGCTTTTACTTACTTTTTAGCTTTCACTTAGCTTTTGCTTGCTAGTTTGCCTTCACTTGCTAGTTAACTTGCTAACTTGCTAATTTGTTTTCACTCCCCTGCTGAAAAATTCCTTGCTGGTCTAGAATGGTTTATACTTGTTTATGCTGAACAGGTGCTGGTCTGGTGCTGGTTTAGCTGGTTATCCAGCATGGTTATGCTAGTTTTGGTGTTCAGCATAACAACTTCCATTGCTGCTAACCTGGATACCAGCATCCAGCGCACAACAATGCCTGTTTTTCTAGTAGCGTCACTAGTTTGCTAGTTTGATTTCACTTGCTAATTTGCTTTTGCTCTCTAGTTTCCTTTTTGCTTGCTAGTTTGTATTTGTCTGTAACCTTGGTTTAATTAATTGATCAGACGTAAAGAGAGTAATACTGTTCAAGTGGGAATGACTTTGGGGAAAATTAATCAAACTTGGAATGCTCACATCATCACCATCGTTAACCTAAATAGAAAGTAGCTGCAAATGAAGGTTCTCTTGGGCTTTAAGGGCGAAGGAAAAACATCAGCAGCCACAATGAACTCCATGACTCTCAAACTCTCTGATAGCGTATTTATTGCTTGTGGTTTTGGGGTGATTTACTCTTCAGTGCGGAATGATTACAGCCATTTGTAAAAATGCTTTTTCCTGTAGGAGTTTATGGCAGAGGAATAGATGGATAGTTTTGCGTGGCTGCTGTTGGACTTCTGAACCCAGCCTGGTCCCTCAGCCGCAATCATCTGCTTCCAATTCTAGAAGATCAGAGCATTAAAATGATGCTGTGCCCGGGCCTTTGAGCTCAGGCCTGCGGTACGGTATCAGCCCTCCGCCGAGACCCCGCCACTGCAAATCCCTCAGACGCCTCTCTCTAATGCGGCCAATCCAGCAGCATTGCCCACCATCCGGCACTAAAACCAGCCAAAGCCCTTTAGTGTTCCTGTCCTGCTCAGACCAGCAGTTATTGTCCCTGCTCTCTGAGGCCTGACTCTGCACCAATGCACTCAACCTCTTTTTGTTTTCTCTCTCTCTATATCTCTCTCTCAGCAGTGTTGGGTGTGCTACATGTGAGTGGGCAGACGGAGATGAAGCGAGTGGTGGGTGACAACGCCACGCTGCCCTGCCACCATCAGCTATGGCAGGGCGACACCTCACTGCTGGACATCGAGTGGCTTCTGGTCAAGCCCAACGCCAAGCAGAAAGTGGTGAGAACACTTTGCATGTGAAACACTGAGTATGTTCACATGTCTAAACCTGATAAAAGCAATAAAAAATCTTATTTTGCCAATAATGCAGATCACAGGTGGTGATGGGGGGGTCCTGGCACCCCCAGAAAAATGTTCAGAACCTCCAGTAGCACCACCTGAAAAACATTCATTAGCCTACTTGTGTCAACATTGTCATGACACAACCTTGCATCTCCAACTTTGCTGGAGAAGGAAAAAACTTTCTTAATTTTGAATGAATTGAATTTCTATTCCTGAATTCCCTGTAAACTGTAAAAACGTTGTAAAAGGCAGCTGATATTTTTAAATTCTGTAAAATATTAATCAAAGCATTAGCTGACATAAGTGTTTATATAATATGTATAGCATTAGCCTTTAGCCTGTACTCGAATATAAGCAGCGCCGAAACATGGTGGTGGTAGCAGGCTGACCAATTTGTGTACTATATTTTTTTTGAAAAACTTGCAGTATACAAACTTAATAGCTATCTAAATCTAAAAAACACAAAAAGTGATTAATTGCATTCAGTTTGCATAGTTAATTATGATTAATTGTTAAACAGTTGTCCTTTTTGCTCAAATTTAACCCTAAAGATTGTCATTTTAAAAGCAGTGTATTTTGTTACAGCTAAACAAGCTTCAGCATAGTGTATTTATTACCTTTAATAATTCTACATGAACCTGAACATGAAAATAGGGTGAACGTTTCTAATTTCCATCCCTGAGGTCTAGAAAGAAACTCTCACCGCAGGTTCCAACTCCTCCGTAATTGTAGCCTCTCGCTTCGTTATGTCTTGTGTCGAGGGGAACTGGAGCTCCACTTTGCTGTTGCTTCTGTTAGTTTGCTGCTCATTGATTTATCATCCTCCAGTGTTGCAGTGTGTTTTGCTTGTAATTGATACTCCAGACTCAACATACTTTGGTTCTAAACAAAGAAATTGCTGGGAGCAAACTTTGTTCTTTATCAAGAGATACACTTCAACTTTCTGATTGGCCACCACCATGCAAAACACTGTTCTCATTTGCATACAGTGATTATTCTGCTTAATTCCTTTAAGTCGAGGTGTTCAATTTTTTCGATTGTTCTCTATCTGGCTCTGTTTACGATATACATTCGCTGAATAACCTGAGTTCACATCTAAAATCCAGGTGTGTTTATTGGATTTCTTGAAAAATGCTGTTTTCTTGAAATCTGATAATGGCTGTAATCAGATCATGACCATTTGAATGCTCTGGCTATTTCGGATGCTCTTAATTTCTGAAAACATACCTCACTGCTGCTGTCACTTCTACAACAGTGGTATAAATAGAGGACAATGGGTTAAAACAGCCTTAACAAATGATTGGAATAATTTAAAATATTCCGACTCAGGACGTCCCTAATGACAGACAATCTCTGCCTAAACTGATTCAGGTCCACATGTCATATTGCGGAACTGTGAAATCCGCCCACCACTAGCAGCTTTGTTCATTTTTAGCCCAGTGCTGCTTTTTCCTCGCATTACTTTTCTGATTTTACGATGTAGGATTGGCAGAGGTACCAAGTTTTTCATTTGAATCTGGCCCGTGTCCAAGTCATTCCCCCAGGGCCAATCTGACACACTGCAGCAGGCAGGAAAAGTCCAGCCTCCGCCTTTAGCTCAAGCGAAGCCCCTGTCGTGCTCTGCTCTGCATGGCAGAGTGTAATTTTTTCCAGACAGTCAAAGCCATGTTTCTGGAAGCTATATCTCACATCTTATGTAGTAGGGCTGTGAATTTTTGACATATTTTAGGATCCTGTGCCTTGCATTCGCAAGCAGATTCACAATGAGCGCCCATTCCCTCGCAGTTAGGAGCTGTGGTTTTTGGGGTGATAAAGGGCTAAAAAATCCAAAGTGCTTATCAGTGAAAAGGTCAGCATGTGCGGAATAGCTGTGCTGCAGTATTTTCGGCGCTTGAACTGTAGGTAGCGCGTGCCAGGGACACCAAAAGTCAAACATAACCCGGCGCGGGGAACGATGATTCACCGTGGCATCAGCACTTAATGCACACCCACTGCAGGCCTTCCGTGTGACTCGCACATGCCCCCTGTCTGTCCACTAGGAGCGTCACACTCACTGCCTCTTCCAGTGCACTCTGACATCTTCTAGGCCTATGGTTCTCAAACCTAGCCCTGTTTTTCCTGCTCAAATGCACCTGATCCAACTAATCGATGATTGGCAAGGCCTTTCTGAGTGGGTGTCTTATGGCATTTTTCCACCGGGAATCCAACACGGTGTAGCACAGCTACAAATCTGTGGTCAGGCATTTTGTCATCATTTCCACTGCCAAATGATCCATATCGTACCTGAGTACCTGTGCTGAATTTGGTTAGCCTTCTTGTTCGAAGGGTACAAAGCATGCCAAACTGGAAAGTGTAAGTGGAGCTAGAAATGGTGCAAGCCACGATTGTTCAAACGCAGTCGTTGCTGAAGTCAGATGACCACCATTTGAAAAGAAACAATGTGACCACACAAGCTAAAGAGAACCTGCTTTTGCAGTACTGTTATGCGATGGAAACCAGAACACCGCAAACAGGTATACGGATAGTTCTGAGTAACCATACTATTCCATATTGCACTGCCTGGTGGGAAATCCCCATTATAGCAGGAAAATACTAAAATGTGGAGGGTACTCAAGAGTTGCTCTGGGCAGTTGGTTCAACACTTGCACTGGTTTGAGTATTGCTTACCCCAACACATTTGATCCAGCTCTTGAAGGGTTTGATAATTATCTGTTGACCAGGATCAGATGTACTGGTGCAGGGAATAGCTGAAAATGTTCAAGTAGTAGATCCTGGACCCTGCAGTTGAGATTTTGTGGGTTTTAACCTGTTTGTCAGCTCCAAATTATGAACTAGAATACTGTAAGGGTATGAAATTGAAGCCCAAACCTGACCTGTACCCGTGACCCAACCAGGACCGACTGGTGCTGCTAAATTGAAACCCACTCCGAACCTGCTCGCATGCACCAACCAAGACGAATTATCCCAGACACAATTTACATAGCTTTGCTTTGTTACTAAGCTCTTGTGTTGAACGACAAAATATATCATGCCGGGACAAACATCTGTAATACACTAACAGTATTTATTATCAGTGTATTTGTGTGGAATTGTTGATCATACCAACAAAGAACAGCATCCACTCTCATCTGATCAACTGTTAGGCCCACTGGGCTAAAGTTCCTCACGCTACTGCTGCTACTGTAAAAGTACTTTGGGGAAACCTAAGTGTGAGTGAGATAGTTTCATTCAGAAGAATGTTCACCCACTTCTCAAACTCCGGAGTTATTCTGAAATCAGCTATAGACTGTGATGTTGCCAGAGAGTGAGAGGAAGACAGAAAATATGTGAGAGTGCGCAAAATTTAGTTATGGGTCAGGTAGTAGACCTCTACTATGACTCACTAGCTTAACCCACTGTCTACCATGCAGTACCTCACATTACTGAATCATGCCCAAATATCCTCCATACAAAGAAAGTACTTTAAAAAATCAATGTTCACCATAAACTTTTTATTTCTAAACTGCTTTGAATGTTTAAATTTTAAATTTCTACCTACCTAAGCTGGCATCTGTTATCCATGGTGGCACAACTTGTTTTGGGGGCTCCAGAGTGGCACAACCGTCTAAGCGTTGGCCCCATCATCAGGAGATCACAAGTTTGATCCCCGGTGACCGGTGATGCTACAGCAGTGGCTGGGGGTCCAAATTGGCCTTGCTCTCTCTGGGTGGGTTGGATGGCCCTCCATATCCCCCATGACTCAGCATGATACTAGCCAGTGCAGGCGGCACTATTAGCTGACATAACAGAAATGGCAGTTGACGCTTTTCTCCAAGTGCGTTCAGCTGTCCAATGATGTTGCATTAGCGGCAGCTCAAAAAGATGCGGTGGCACTAAATTGGGGAGAACATTGGAAAAAATCCAAAAAGAAAAGCTTGCTTGATAGTTAGTAAACTAAAGGTTATACAGCTAACAGCAACAAAAAAAGAAACTCAGGTTCTAAAGTGAAACTTACAGCAATTATTCACAAACTTTGTGTACATTATGTTTTTAAAAAATTTCTGCATTATAAATATTCAGACTTAATTCAAGCTATGTCAAGTCAAGAACTGTATCCATTGCATATCCCTATACATTATGCAAGTACTTGTTTTGAGACAGAGCGCTGGTGTCTGGAAAGACCAAACATCCTCCTCTCTCCCACCAGGTGATCACGTACTTTGCGGGCCGCACCTACGACCCCAACGAGGGCGACTCGGGCCGGCTGTCGCTGGCGGGCGACTATCTCAAAGGGGACGCCTCACTGATGATCAGCGACCTCTCGCTCAGCGACTCAGGAGAATACAGCTGCAAGGTCAAGAATGGGGGAAAGTACCACTGGAACACGGTCAACCTCATCGTGCTCGGTGAGTCCGCAGGCCCATCGCACTCCGCCTCTAATGAAGTCCTCTTCCAGGCCCCGTGGACGGAGAAGGACGTGACAGATGCCTGTGTCACCCAGTCGTGGGGCCAAAAATAGCACAGGGATATTGTCCCTTGGCATCATGAAGCTGTTGTGCAGTGGAATGTCACTCAGCTTATGGCTAGCAAAAAGAGAGAGGTTTTAATGATACTCGTGCTTTGATGTAACAGCATTAGAGTCGCACCAGGCAAAAGTTTGGACACAATTACTCAGAATGGCTTTTTCTTATTTTTACAATTTTCCACATTACCGAAGATGTCAATCAAAACAGTGAAACGTGATATTATGTGGTGACCAACAAAGCATTTTCTCTCAAGGAGGAGCCTTCTCGGGTGCTTTTCCAACAGGCTTGAAGACGATACAGATTTGTTCTTGTTGGAAAACTACTTGTAAGGACGGCATTTAAAACAAACAAATTTTTGTTAAAGTTCAAACAAAGCTCAACCGTTCAAGACTGAAGATGACAAACCATTTCAGTGTGTCCAAACTTTTGACTGGCAATGTAAAAAATGATATCTTCACAAGTCAAAACATTGCAAATGGGCAATCTTGGCTAAAACTAGCCTATATTGTGTCCATATTTTATCTCACTACAATACCCAGCATGCACTATGCTTACATATATAATCTCTGGGAACCCCCCTTGCTGTAATAAAGAAATTTTCACTGCTAGCACAGAGGCTAATAGATACAGACTTGATGTTTAGCTTCCTAGCAGTAACTTTAGCAACATTAACCTTCCTCTACATTAGTCGTAACACTAGTTAGGAGAAAAAAACCTCCTGCCCTCATGGATCCACCCCAAAGTTCTTGTAGTTTTTCAGGAGTTCCTCTTACCTTCACGCTGCATCATCAGAAGGGGTTATTTTAGTCTTTAACCTGTAAAATCTCACTCTAGAGGCTAAAGTGGCACTGCTGTAGGGGGCAAATAGGCATGTTTGCAACGAAAGTAGTAATGGTTAAATACTACAGTTTGGCTGCAGTGCCACTTTAAATCCAGTCAGTCTTATATTTCTCATTATGAGACTGTTTAATAATTAATAAGAGTTGATTACAATTTTATTAAAAAGTCTAATTCTAGACATTTTTATCTGAGGCAAGTAATTTTATTAAGAAATTGTCTCTGTTGTGTATTAATAGATAATGATGCCTGTTTCAAGTATTATTTCTTGAGTTAAGGAAAATTATTATTTCTAAAAAAAATGCCAATTGTAAAAATACTTCTAATAGATAAAATGACTTAAAACAAGTAAAATGTCTAGAATAAAAATAATAATAATCTTACAACAATCCTATTTGAGAAATATTAATATATTGACTAGATTTAAGATATTTTCACCTGCCATATTTTTTGCAGTGTGCACATCATTTTAGGTTCTCTCATCTAAAGATAAGAAAACCTCATTAATATTTGGGTTTTTTAATCTTTTGACAAATAAAACAAATTAAAAATCTTTTTTTTTTTTCCAGGCTACCTTAGCAGATGGTAGAACAAAGTTCCTTTTTCTAAACGCTTACCAGTGTGATCATTTTATGGTTCTGTAAAAAAGAACTTAACATAAGTAACCAGGCTGCTTTAAAGTTTTGAGTTAATGGAACCTCTAATAATAAATTAACACAACAAAAAATCTACTTTAGTTTTCTTAAACGTTATTTTTTTATGGTGTATAGAACAAGTTTTTAAAAATATGATATGATACTATATGATATAAGTTTCAGAACGTACCATTCACACCTCAGTCCAGACAAACAGCTTACAGAAACAGCCTGTTTTGAATTGTTTTTGTAATGTCTTGAAGAATCAGTACATTTGAATATACCTACCTTTACTGCCTACAGCAGTTTAGCCCCGCCCATGCACACTGAAGTTATAAGGAGTGTCTCAGCTCAGACAGCTTTTTGAATGAGGCACAATACAGGCCAGCCAATCAGAACAGGCCATTTAAGTATATCAGTCTTAAAGGCATAGTAACAAAAAGAGCCTGTTTAATTCTATGGGATAAAGAGAGGTTGGAAAATGATCATATACTGTAAGAATGAATTATGACTATTACGTTATGTAGGATAAGGGCCCTGTTAAGAACCATATGCATCTGGCTTACCATCAGGGAGAACCGTATAACCACAAAAAGAACTATTTGTGCATTCAAATGGTTCTTTAAGTTGTCATGGCTCTATATATAACCATTGCTTGTACTTGAAAACCTCACAGAACCACTTTTTTTTAAGTTGTATAAAGTTACCGTTTCAGCGATCTGAGGTTTTCTTATGGCAGCACCGATTTGTGGACCAAATAAACTTCAGCAGGACGTCTTTAGATGCTGCCGCTGCAGGACGCTGGCTCCCCTGCGCTCTCTATAAAGACGTTTTAAAAGAGCGCGCTGCAAATTTACGCATGCATTTGTACAAATTGCCCGCAGCTTCGCGACGACACTTTCGATTCGGCGGGACAAACATTAGCATTTGTCTTGTTCAACACAGAGATAATGGCTTTGGCGGAGGCCCCGGCCCGGGCGCCTCCTCCGAGCGCCGTAAGTGATCCTGACAGCGGGACGAGATGTAAAGGCACCCCCACCCCCCACCCCCCCAGGCCTGCTCCATTCCTTTAATTGCATCCTGCAGTGAGCGCCTGGAAGCGCCACGCTCCGTTCTCCGCACTCAGCAGAAAACGGCAGCCGGAGCAGATGTTGATGGCTGTGGTGGAAGGGCTTTGCGGGTAGGTGGTGGAGGGTGGGGCGGTGGGGTGGGAGGTGATTGGTGATGCAGCACGGGCTAATGGCGAAGTGGGGGTCCTTTTACGTTCATATCGAATGGCCACTGCGGAACCAGGCAAGCATTAAATGGCGCCTCTGAGGAAAGCAGTCCTGGACACACAGGTGTTCCCGGAGCAGACAGGACGTGGCTGAAGGGAGTCTGCTCTAGCTGACTGTGTGCATGTTTTGAGTGAATTATGTGCTGTTAGAACCTAAAACTCAAGGTAGAGGTGTCCAGGTGGTCTGGAGGCCACACCTGCAGGCCCTCCAGGACTACCATCATGTCTAGAAGTTAGAAAGGGTACAGGGAATGAAAAAGAAGACATTAATAACAGATATTTTAATGTGTTTAAATGCTAATTTTTGTTGTGTTAATCGCACAAGATTCTTTGATCTTTGACTTCATTATTTAGTTCCCACGCCTTACTAAGTCGTGGCCACGCATTAGGATCTCATCCCTGCGCCTTACCAAGTTGTGGCCACGGCTTCATTATTTAGTTCCCACACCTTCCTAGGGTCATGGACACAACTTCATTACTTCGTTCCCATGTCTTCCTATGTCATGGCCACATGTTAGGATCCCATCCCCACATCTTACTAGGTCATTGCCACAACTTCATTATTTAGTTCCCACACTTACTAAGTCGTGGCCATGACTTAATTATTTAGTTCCCACACCTTACTAAGCCGTGACCACACATTAGGATCTCATCCCCGCGCCTTACTAAGTCATGGCTATGACTGCAGTACTTCGTTCCCACACCTTCCTAAGTCATGGCCACGACTTCATTATTTAGTTCCCATGCCTTACTAAGTCGTGGCCATGCATTAAGATCTCATTTCAAGTCATTGCCACATGTTAGAATCCCATCCCCACATCTTACTAAGTCGTGGCCTTGGCTTCATTATTTAGTTCCCACTGCTAACTAAGTCGTGGTCACAACTTCATTATTTAGTTCCCATGCCTTACTAAGTCGTGACCATGGCTTTATTATATAGTTGCCATTCCTTACTAAGTCATGGCCACGCGTTAGAATCCCATCCCCACATCTTACTAAGTCGTGACCATGACTTCATTATTTTGTTCCCATGGCCCCTTGCTAAGTGGTGGCCATGACTCCTCCCACACCTTACTAAGTCTCGGCCACAAGTTCTTTATTTTGTTCCCACACCTTACTAACTTGTGGCCACGCGTCATTTTTATTTATAGGGGATGTCACCAGCAGGGCTCCATATGGCCACTGTAGGCCTGCAGAAAGAGATTACATGATGTGTGTGTTAAGTTGTTTTCATTCTCTGTTTACTGTTTTAAACATGATTATGTCCTCCAGTGGTCACCATTCCTGCTCCTAGAGATCCTTCCAGCGGAGTCTAGTTGCAGCCTCAGTCTGCCAGAAGTCCTTAATTGGCTGGATCAGATGTCTTAGTGCTGGTTAAGCGTGTTAGATGCAGAACTAAACTCTGTAGGAGGAGGCCTGGTGACCACTGATGTACAGCATGACTTTGCTGAATAGGCCTTCTTTCGTTTTTTTCTGCACAGTAAAACCGTCGAAGCCTCGCTGTTGGATGGAGGGCCGGCTGTTGGAAGGCAGTGATGTGAAGATGAGCTGTAAATCTGCAGACGGTTCTGATCCCATTCACTACAAATGGGAGAGGGTGCTGGACAAGGGCAAATACGTGGGGAAACTGCCCCCTCTCGCTCTCCTGGGTAAGCTCTTCCAGCCTCCAGTAGTTCAGTGGACATTTTAAGGCAATCTTTTACCCCAACTCCCCCCGCATAACCCCAAATGAAGTCAATCAGCCAAGACATGTTCAGTGTCTGCTTAGCAGTGGAGCGCCAAAGCTAATGTAGCTAACAACTAATGGAAGCTCATATACACCAATTAGCATTGTGTAAACGGCATGCGTGAATCATCACAGACTTTACTCAAACCATGTTGAGTTCTTTAGTAATCTTAAATAGACTTCATTACTTACATAGAGACTTTATAACACATGCATAGACATTTAATAACATATTTATAAAGCAATACTTGAATATTTAGAAAAAGCTTGTGTCAGTAATCGCAAAAGGACATGCTTTATGAAGTGAACTGATACTATATTGATATAAGAAGCTGTAAATTAGGACATTTGTTCAGTTTATAACAATGTCATAAAGGTACATTTCAAGTTATCATGCTATATGTCAGTCACGATCACGATAAAACCTCAAAAATCATAACTTTACATTGGAAAGACAAAAACTTTCTTTTGAGGTCGATGGAATAAAACTTTTTCCAAGTAATTTTGAGTCGTTTTTATCTGTTCATCATGAAATTTTAACATGAAGGCCAACTGACATTTTTAAATTATGTAAAAAAGGTAAAAACCCAAAGGCGATGATATGCTTGAGTTAAAGTATAACAGAACAATTCCTTTAAAGGAGACTCAAGCCTGCAGCCACACAGGCCACCTTAATAGAAACTGTTCATCAAAATAATATAACATATATATATAATTACAAGTATAATAACTGTCACAGTGCTTGTAATTTTGATATTTAAGTATATTAAAAAGCTTAATTTTCTACTTTTGTACTCAAAGATGGAACTTTGAGCGAAGTAATATTTTACCAAAGGCATTTCTACCTTTACTCAAGTACAGGAACATGTATATCATCCCTGTCCAAAGAAAAACATGTATCTCCAAGTTTGTCGTTTTGTATTTTTCCACACTATTTCAACACGGCATGTGTTCTTTTCATTGTATAAAAATTTCATGACGATTGGACCAATAGAAACGCACCAGAATGACTTTGAATAAAGTCTCTATCCAATGACTTGCATTAAAGTTACCAACATTTCTGTCTTCTCTTGTAAAGTTACTATCTTGGAGATGTTTTTCTTTGGACAGTGACGATATTCATGCGTATGAGAAAATATGTATGAAAACTGTCACTCAAATTCAAGAGGATCGGAAAAGATCTAAAACATGATGCCCTTAACGAGGCATCTGGTTCCATCACCTGAGAATGATGCTTCATAACAGTGTTATAAATGAAATGTCTGTCACTTTACATTAACCCTGCGTTCACACCGGCAGCGACTTTTCGCCTCTTGTCGCCCAAATCGCCGGTCACTCATTGCCTGTGGGCATTTCTGAACTCGAGCGGACTGGTGGTTGCCATGGTTTCACTGATGCCAAACACAAATCAGATGTGTTCCCGCTAGAAATCCCTGTGTCTGTGCAGTCAGTTTGTGTGGAAAATGGTATCGGCAGCACCACCGTTATTCCACCTGTAGTAGGAACCAAAAAAGGAGCATATCGTTTCACAGTGGCGGAGATAAAGCGCATACTACGCTGCTCAATGCTCAATTCCTATTGGTAATTGGCAATATTCACACCACCTTCTGTCACCAGAAATTGCCAGCCCCATTGAAAATGAATAACCTCCGGCCGCCTTGTCATGTCGCATCGCTGCCGGTGTGAATGCAGGGTAAGGGTCCTTGTGTCAATACAATCTTATTTACTCCATGTAACATTAGATCTTCTTGCGTCTACTGACATCAGCTGTATGCTTAAATATTGCTTTTTAAATATATTGTTCGATGCTTATGCATTTATTATGAAGTGCCCATTCTGGTAGACCTCAAATAAAACGTTAGCATTAATGGAGAGTTACAAGCTCCCATGACTTTTTAGCCTTGTAGTTCCAGTGGAACGCTAAAGAAACAAACTTCGTACATCTTGATGTCTTGGTTAGTCCACTGTGTGTGAGCTAAGCAGGAAACTGTGCATGTTTGGCTGAACCATCACTTTAAATTGCCACTGAATGCACTGAGATGTTAGCCCACATTTCCTCCTCTTCTCAAATTGAAAAGTCTAATTTCATAAATTTATGCTGACGTTTTGGCGGCAACATGATGCAATCGCATCTAAAACCTTAATCCTGCTCCTGCTTCCACTCGGGTCAGACTCAAATGCGTAAAGGGAAATCTCCCAACAACTCGCTGCAATCCAGCTACGCAACTCGTCTCTGGAGGACGAAGATTGTGGATGATGATTCCACGGGGTCTATTTAGCACAACAAGCGGCCTCAAATTTAATTTACATCAGCTGCATTAGCCCCCCTTCCCGTCCCCCACCGCCCCATGCTCTGCCGCTCCTCAATTAGCCTCTTTTAGTAGCTCCGGTGTGAGTTGCTCCGTATGTGGAACTAATGTGCAACTTCCATACAGCACTCAGGAGGGAATACACTTCAACAGTGAATCTAGAGCTTTCGTTATTTTGCAAATACTACTTAAATGTCATTGCATAATTACATTTGCCTGAGTGGTGTAATTACTTACATATTTCACTAGAGTCTAACCTATAGAAATCCATCTTACAATACTTATTACTTAATTATTACATGATTAATTACATAGTTATTACATAATGAGTTGATTTTACATTTGATTTGCATTCTGTATGATGTTAACGGTTTTGAATCTCACTTTTTTCAGTTTTAATATCCAAAATATGCCAAAAATCTGCCTTTCTTTTCTCAAAACAAAACAGTACACACAATAATAACCATCAAATGTAAACAGTATTCAACCAATAAAGTGGTGTGGATTGAAATCCATTTAGAATCTGGAGTTTTTGGTTTTATTATTGCCTGTGATAACTGGCACTTCAGCAGCTCTTGTAACAGATGATGCTTCTATGTTCTGAGTAAACATTAATTGTGTTGCTGTTTAGATCTGAAGAATCCGGAAATTGTGACGCTGAGGAACCTCACCAGAGAAAGTGCCGGAGTCTACAAATGCACAGCAAGCAACGACGTGGGGGAGGAGAGCTGCACCGTGGAGGTCAAAATCCACTGTGAGTGTATCTTTGACCATGTATTTAGCTCTTTTGGGGGTTGAATGTCCCCAGGATGATGAAAATATAAATATTTTGGTTTTCTGGAGACCCAGTGCCCTACAGAAAAATGTATTTTTTTTCAAAAATGAAGCTCTTATTTCAAAAAGATTAGCTTTTGGTTGCTGGGGTCAAAGGCCCAATCCGATTTCTTATTTCTACCCCTATCCCTTGTTTTCAAGCGTCATCTTGGAACTGAGTTACAAGGGGTAGTGGTTGAAATCTTCCCTATGAAATGGGACCCTCAAATAAAAAGAGCATCACTTCATTAACAGCTACTAGCGCTGCTCTGTAGGCGACCCTGCCAGTCTGCAGTGACAGCAGAGGAGGGTAAAGTTCAGCTCCTCACTGCTGGGCTTTAGTTACATTTAGGGAATCATATGCTGTCAAAGAGGAGGGGGGGCAATTATTTATTATCACCCACCCCTAATTCTTCAGTGGTATGAAACTGAGTCAGATATTTACCAGCTTCTCTTTATTATCAAAATATTATGACTTTATTCTCAAAATAATACAACTTTTTTTCTCAAAGTATTACAATTTTATTCTAAAAAATATGACTTTACTCTCAAAATATTCAGATTTTCTTCTACAAAATATGACTTTATTCTTAAAATATTACGGCTTCTTTCTCAAAAAATTACAATTGAATTGTAAAAAATATGACTTTATTCTTAAAATGTTACAACTTTGTCCTCAAAATATTACGATTTTATTCTAAAAAATACAACTTTATTCTTGAAATATTACGACTTTATTCTCAAAGTCTATTATTTAATTTTTTTGAACATTTATCTGCTGATACCAATATGAATCCGATATCATTGTGCGTCCCTAATATCGCCCACAAAGGTGTTCATATACAAGGAGACACAAACCTGTACGTGGTTTTCCTTCCTCTGATCACAAACAAATGCCTTCTGTGATTTGATGATCACAAACTGATTGATGATCACAAACTGATTGATGATCACAAACTGATTAAAAGAACTCGGTGCTGGATTTTTCTCCACATGCGTCTGTTTTGAGTTCTTCGCACCGCCTCATTACAGCGAGACAAAAGAAGGCCAACGTGGTGCCGCATTAAGAGCAAGGTTTTGGTTTGAACACGTTTGTGAAGCGCTCGTCCTTCTGGGAGCAAGTTTCCGCGTATGTGTGCTCTGTTAAGCAGGATGATTCATCAGCATACTTTTAAAATCCAAAGAAAAAATTAATCGGCTTGTTTTCTTGTTTTGTTCGTTGATTCATGTTTATCCACCAGTGAAGTCCAAAGCTTTTTCCCTGCATAATTACACTTATGGGAGATGGAATTAACGAGAAAACATTAATTGGGGGGAACGAGAAAGAAACTTACTCATGCAAAGAAATACGGCACTTTGTTCAAAGAAAATCGTGGCAACAGTGGCGTGATTAATGGCTTGTTGTGTTTGCTGAAGAATTCTCCTGGTGCTGGGAGATGTATTGCTTTAGGTACAGTATCTGCAATGCAGTGCATGGGGGCTCGTTCGGATATTTGAGCATAAATTACTGCTTCTTGCTCCCACTGTACTTTATCCCTCTCTGGATGGTTTTAACTGTATGTTCATGTGTGTTCTGTGTGACTGGAGGATGCTGTTTGTGTCTGTTATGTGTATTAAAGGTACAGTTTAGAGTTTTCTCCCTTAGTGCAAGTGTAGTCAGTTAGCCACGTTTACATACAGCCTGATAATCCATTAATAATCAGACTAATAGCTCAATCGGAATAGAATACATCCATGTATACACCTCAATCGGAATAGATTAGTCTGATTGAGGCCATTCGGAATACAGTTTGGTGGGTAATTCTGTAAATAATCCGTTAAATACAAGACTAATATCCATGCAAACTCCTGTATCTGATTTCATTCCCTATCGGAACGTTTAAGTACGTTCTGCATGTTCGTCAGGTCATAGCCATAGAGACTGGTCTGAGGATGAGACGAAGTTTATGCTCTGAGCTTTAAAAGACGGCGGTGGGACGGACGTCCAGCTTATGTGTCTCAGAACACGACGTCTTCCTCTCAGCCTTCTTTAATAAGAACATGTGAAGGACGTTTTCCTGAGTCTAATGTTGCTACATTAGCCTCGTAGCTCCAGTTCTAAACTAACGAAGCAAAATTTGGACACCAAACAAGTCTCGACTGATTATCTACTTCTGGGATAAGTGGAAAAATGGTGTAAATTGCTGAACAATCGCAGTTTATACAATGCTAACTGGTGGACACAAACTTACAGTGCTTGTTAGCTACATTAGCCTTGTAGCTCCAGTGTAAGGCTAAAGAAGCAAATTTGACTGTATGTGTGGGAGGTATTGGAATGGCTAATAGAGAGAGAGACGATGTCACCATGCTCCTTCTTCCTCTCCAGATGTGCGGGGGATGGGTGTGGTGGCCGGTGCTGTGGTGGGCGTGTCCTTTGGAGTCCTGCTCATCATCCTCATAGTGTGGCTGGTCTTCCGCAAGAAGGAGAAGAAGAAGTACGAAGAGGAGGAGACGCCCAACGAAATCCGGTAAACAATGTAGTTCTGAATAGCTGAGTAACAAACAACTTCAGCTGTTATTTTTAAAATCGTGATTGCAAACATTTGCATTCGTGAGCTCATGGCATTCTGATTAATAGTGCTTGTGTCTCCTTATGGAGAAACTTCAGACTGCTAAACATGCACGAGTGAGTGAGTTCCAACACTACGTCTTTGTGTTTGGGCGTCCTGATCAAATAAACATTTTGTTGATTTGCTAAGTGAAAATAAGCACTTTTTTAGGTGATGTCGTAGGCAACATCAAAGGACATCGTAGATAAGAGAATAAATATTTCGTGAACGCTGCATGCTAGAGATGTACTTTCATTTTGCCTAAAAGGGTAGCATTGCTCCGGTCAGGAATACAGCCTCTGACTGGTCACCAGACTTGACCTAAGGCATCAGTGGACAGTTGACAGCCATGTTAATAACAACAATAGCTCTTTTCAACACAGAGAAAAGGATAAATAATCACAGAAGACATTCAGCGTTGTATTTGCCATTATGGATTCATTGTATAAAATATCTAAAGAGACTGTGCAGTTCAAGGCTGGATTACAAAGCTTCTGAAAAGGATACGATTGAACCGGAGCCCTCGTTGAAATGGCAAACGCTACCCTTCTGGGAAAAAATAAAAGTAAGTCTGTAGCATTCAGTGTACCCAGGATGTTTTTTCTTTTACATCCAATGTTTCATACTACGTTGTCGACCTGAGAGACAATTACTGTTTATTTGCTAAATTTAACATTCAGTTATGGCAAATTTTTGTGGTTTTTGTCATGTTAAATTCAGCAAATAAGCAGATATTCTTCACTAAAATTGGCAGACAAATGTCATATTTGGGTATGTTCTTGGTAAAGGATGTATTAACTTATTTTCACCTAGAAGGTCAACAAAACAGATGTTTTCCATCATTATAGTGGTGGCGCACTTGAAGATGTCAGTGGGAAACCAAAAAGTATCATCAACTTTCATAATTTTACAACTCCAGATCCGTGCCACTGGGACTAAGCTGACCAGAAAATGCTTAGAAATTTCCTCAGATGGTATGTCACACTCTGAGGAACCTACAGCAGAGACAGGCTTATTAATGCTCCCTAATAATCCACGGCTGTAATGTAAGGAAATAACACATATTATTTAATGTTATTTAACAAGCTGTTTAAATTTGAAATGAGTCCTCTATAGATCTTTATCAATTCTCGTTTTTGTCTTTAAAGCATCGTCATTGGGTTACTAGCTAATCAACTGCCCTATTGCTCAGGTCTAGCAGATATTTTTTTTTTTTTCTAAATGTAACTTATAGTAGTCACCAGTTTTACCATAGACATTTGCTTACATCAATAACTGCTTGTTGCATTATGTACATTTTTACACTCTCAGAATGTACTTAACTCTTGTCACTGGAACCCTCAAGGGTACATCTCAGTACCTTTAGTCAGGGAACATAACTGAACCATAATCCATTGAAATGATATGTTCTAAGCTGTACTGACTCCACACACCCCGTCTCGTCTCCAGGCTTTTATTTTACTGTTCTGTTTTAAAACATTCGGAAAAAGTACAAATACGAACTTTTCACCTGGGAAAACTTATTTAAGGTTCACAATCAGACCTTAAAACCACTGTTGTACCTTTGAGGGAACATTTACATTGTTTGTACCTTGATAAATAAATAGTACCTGCAGAGAACCTTTATTTCTAACAGTGTAGAATGTTTAAGTAAACCATACTGTATTGCTGTACTGGTCAGTGTACAGCAGGTCTCTGTAACATGATGACCTCAGTCTCCAAGCCAAATTATGACCTTTTTTGCCGCTGATGCACTGTTGATGCTCTGGCTGGCGATTCAGTTTTTCTCTGGTGAAGCGTCTCCGTCTGGGTTTATTTGCAAGTGTCTGGATGAATTATGCAGCTTCTGAGGATGTCCGAGCATCAAAAATGCAGGCGGAGAGAGAGAGAGAGAGAGAGAGAGAAGAGAGAGAGAGAGAGAGAGAGCAGAACGCCCAGTCCGCCCTGTTCACACACGAGGCCACTGAAACGATGATGGAGCGCAGCAGGGCCAAGGGGGATTTACTCCTGCATGTGCTGGAGGAGCCGGTGTCCCACCAGAGCTCTGGACCGCAGGGCTTTACAGATATTGGGTGATTTATAGCAATACAGAGAAGTGCTGACCGTGCAATGTCCAGACAGCCACTCGACCACGAGACGGTTCCTCAGTGCAGGAGTTTGGTAGCGAACTGGCAGCCCTCACCATTCTCTCTCTCTCTCTCTCTCTCTCTCTCTCTCTCTCTCTCTCTCTCTCTCCCTCTTTCTCTCTCTCCCTCTTTCTCTCTCTCTCTCTCTCTCTCCCTCTTTCTCTCTCTCGATCTCTCCCTTTCTCTCTCTCATTCACTTACTCTCTCTCTCTCTCTCATTCACTTACTCACTCTCTCTCTCTCTTTCTCATTCACTTACTCACTCTCTCTCTCTCTTTCTCATTCACTTACTCCCTCTCTCTCTCTCTCATTCACTACTCTCTTTCTTTCTGTTTCACTCTCTTTTGACCCACTTTCTTTCTTTCTTTCTTTCTTTCTTTTTTTTCTTTCTTTCTTTCTTTCTCCACATTTTTTTGGTTCTCAATTTTTTTCTCCCCTTCTGCCTTTCCCTTTCCATCCCCTTTCCCTTTCTCTTTCTCTCCTTCTCTCTCTCTCCTTGCCATTCTTTCTCCTTTTCTCCCCTCCTTTTCTCCCCCTCTCTTCTTCTCCTCCCCCTCCTTCTCTCTCTCTCTCTCTCTCTCTCTCTCTCTCTCTCCTCTCTCTCTCTCTCTCTCTCTCTCTCAGTCTTCAGTGTGCTTAAATCAGTTGAGCGCAGGGCTGTAAAGATAAGGCTATAAAGATAATGCTAATAATGATGCTAATGAAAATGATTGAAACAGCCACAGCATTTCTTTAATCTCAACTGTCCAAACTATTTAATGTCTTTATTTAACTGTCTCTACCCCTCTTCTCTCTATATAGTTCATAATAATAATAATAATTATAATAACAATGATAATAATCCTCTGTCTGTGTTCCAGGGAGGACGCAGAGGCTCCTAAAGCAAAGCTGGTGAAGCCCAACTCTCTCTCCTCATCTCGCTCGGGCAGCTCCCGCTCCGGAGCCTCCTCTACTCAGTCTATGGTGCACAGCAGCGTCCCCCGGGGGCCCAAGCCTCGTCCCCCGCCCCCCATCTCAGCCACCCTGAAGGAGAACGGGCAGCCGGCCACTTTCCCCCAAGCCCCTCCTGCTTACACCCAGGTAAATCCCCCCAAACCCAACCCGACCCAAAACAGCCCCAAACCGAGCCCATCCAAACTCAGCCCAGCCAACCTGGCCAGAATGGGGGCCACCCCGGTGATGATCCCGGCCCAAACCAAGGCCTTCCAGACTGTCTAGAGTTACTACAAACATGCATATACACGCTGCAGTGAGCCTACCACCCCCCCATCCCCCGGCCCCCCCACCCCCAATCCAAACAGACTCGGACCGCCACGCGCCATCAAGAGAAATAAAAGCCCAGTTTACTTGAAGCCTCCCTAATTGCCGTGTCGCTGGAAACACTACAAGTGGGAAATAAGAAGTGATCGGCCCCCCGATGTGGACAATAAAGGGACGCGATGTCTCCTCCTTCCGCACTCCATTTTCTGCTTTTCTTTTCTTCTCTTGGGACGTCGAGGGCAGCACAGCCAGGCGGAATGGTGCCCCCTGTCCACTCCACTTACTTTATTTTTTTCACCCTCCCACCTTTAGCCGGAGAGACGGGCTGTCCACGCTATGCCACCTTAGAGCGGACAGCTTCCGGAAGCGGAAATAAATAAATAAGTAAATGGAAAAAGTGAAGGACTTGTTCTAAACACCTGCTGCTCTCCTGCCGATCCACCCTACAGCCCTCACTCTCAAAACTGAAGGGTTAAAAAAACAGGCGCTGTTTTAACTCATCATGATTCGTGTTACTTTTAACTAGGGGTGTGACGATACACGCATATTTCTATTGATTTTATTTTAGTACGGCTGGTTATGATGACATAATAATCACAAAGTTCTGTGATATCAGACTGACATTAATTGGAATTGGAGTTGTGTATATATTAAAAGCATTTATCTTCTAAGAAAATGACTCATTTATTCTACTAAAGCAATAAGCCACGGGAGACTGTGTGTTACAGTGATTTTACCACAGGTCAGAGGTGTTGTTAGGCATGAATCAGAGTAAAATCACTTTAAACACACAGCTTTGCCATCTGGAAAACAAATATATGAAACTGTATTTATCAAATACATCTGAAAATGTAAGAAAGTGGCTTTTTTGTTTTGCTTAATATACTGTAGTGTGTTTTTGGAATGAAACAATGTATTTAAAATGTAAACATAAAAATTACATGTATTTTCCCTATATGGGTGTGGCTTATTGCATTATACAATGGCGATAACATACAATACGGCAAAATACTCTAACATTTGACAAATATTTTCAAACTTTCAGAACTTTCAGTCATTAAATAAACTTTTTTTTTAAATTCTTATAATAATTCTTGTTTTAAGATGCAAATGAGCTGAGTGGTGACCAATCAGATAGTTGATATGTGGTGTGGTAACTGATTGTGTCACGTTGACAGTCGTACACTCTTAAACAATGATGGTTCAAGGGTTCTTTAATAAAGAATATGGTTCTGTATAGAACCATGAACACTCAAAGAACCCTTTGCATGATTGAATGGTTCTTCGCATTGTAAAAGTGTACTTCAGATTGATGGAGAATGTAGATGGTTCTATATAGAGCCTTTTTGAAAAGGGTTCTATATAGTGCCAAAAAAGCCAAAGAACCTTGTTTTGGTACTATAACCCTTTTTCTTAAGAGTGTACAATGAGATTTAACACTGAAACACACAGAGTGAGAGATATAAATTATTATGATAAATATTTATTTTAGGTTAAAAAGTACTATTAGGCTGCTTTGGGAGTCAGAACTGACCAACCTGCATGTGTTTTAGCAACATGGCCACACGTGGGTCTTCTTCACTACATTCAAGTTATTATAAATTTCAGAACACCTTTATTTTTATCACTATTATTAACCCCCCCCTATCATATCTGGGGTCAATTTGACCCCATTTAGTGTTTAACATCTCTAAGTAAATGACTGACAACAAACTTTAGTAATAATTTTAATTATACTAATTTTCCTGAGGTTTAAATTGCTGGGGTCAAATCAGCTTTAAGTCTAAAAGATATTAGTACATTTAAAGATAACAAGAGAGTTAACAGTTGCAGTTCTGAAACCGGGGAAGGCCGCAACCCCATCAGCACCCCCCACTTCCTGCGTCCCTGTCTGTATTCAAATTGTATTGTGCTACAAAAAACACAATACATATTGTATGTGAACCTTGTGTATCGTCACACCCCTATTTAATACTGTCAACAAACAAGACAGTATGTGAGAGATCTGATGTGTTCTTTTAGACAGAAAATGGGTTAAAATAGTGATTGTTTATTAATGCATCATTTCTGAGAGTGCCCCAGCAGCCCTGACCGTGAAGTCCAGGACACGAAATCAAAGAAGCCACACACACCTGACGTGTACAGTGTGAATTTATGCTGAATAAGTGGTGAAAATCCTGTAGAAGTGGTTTATACTGCATCGAATAACATTACGATAGATCATATAGACGAAGTGTACATGAACATCCTCTCATATGTATCTTCATCTGTCATCTCAACTTTGACTTTGAGAGTTATGAACGTCCGTGTCTCACGCCCTGAATAATGCGTCTATCTTCAGGGTTTAACTGATTTCAGTTCGTGGATTCATTTCGCTGAGTTATGACGACGAGCCCGTGAGCGGCCGCCGTAGCTCATTTCACCTGATGGATCTAGACGTCATGTTCTGTTTTAACGATAAATTTGAAATGAATGAACAAGCTTATGAATGTGACGATGGTGCGTACATAAATTGGCACTTTTTTCCTTTTTTTTTTAACCATTTTAGTCTATTTGTTTGCCTACAGTTGTTTATTTCTTTGTACTTTTTCATAAAGAAGGTTATTACTGTAAGCAGCAATAAGTTAGAGCTCTTATAAGTAAGTTGGATGTCCTTTAATGATTTTTCAAGACTCGTTCTTTCTGTTATTCTAGTTATTTAGACTTCCTAACAGTTTGAATCAGGTCAAATGCTGTTTTGATAGTATTAGCGTAGTTTCATATACATGCCTGGTTGCTCTTGAGATGCTGTAAATGGGAGGAAGGAGAGTGTGTGCGTGGAGCCAGATGAAGACGGAGCCTGTGCTGCTTTCATATGAAGTTATTCGATCTTTAACCATGACCTACATGTGTTGGGATTTTATCACGGGCCAACTCTAATCTTGTACTGTTGAAACTATGAAACTATGTCAGATTCTCTGCTCGGTTTGATATATTTTAGGATGGAAGTTGGTGTTCCACTTTTGCTAGCGGTTCGTAGTGCATTCTTTTCTTCATTTTTTTCGTTTTAAGGTGATAGATCTGGTTGAAGGTAGACCTTCTCACAGATGTGGTGTTTTAGTAAAAGTGGGTGCTGGGTGTGATGTGAAACATGTCCCCCCCTGAGACGGCCCTGCTGCTTCAGGCTCCTCGGTTATGCGGTTTTTGAATGAAATAGGGTCAAGATGTGGGCCACATGGCATACAGCTGATCAAGTGAGGCCCTGAAAGTTGTCGTTTGGTGAGAATTTGCACAATTTCCCCCTTTTTTTATCATATAATCATGAACATATAATCACAATATGGATCATTCTACTGAACTGTTAAACTCACAGTCTGGACTTAAATTCCTTTAGCTTTGAGTGACCCTATGGCTTAATTTTGTTTATTTTATTAAAACAAATGTTTATACATTCCATCTTGTCATCACCGAAACTATCGTAACTACCGGAACTTTACTAAATGTTTCGGTATTGACTGCTTTGGTGACGGTTTTAGCTCATTTCAAGCAGAACTCAGAAACACTAGCCAGTACATGACTAGCAAACACATAAAATCATAATATTTTTCATTAAAACACAAATCTGTGTTTCGGTAGTGACCATTCTTAATGTTCCACACTGATTTTCAGACACATTTAGTTCCAAACTATGGGATCTAACTGCTCACCATGTGGCTAGGGATGCAGTCTCACTTCCTGCTCTGAAATGCAGGGGCTAAAATAAAGCTCCGCCTACAGACTAAAACTGTTTGTGTTTTGGTAATGACACGAAAATGTGGGACAGCATTGTTTGTTTTTACAAAAAATTAAACTCCTGATAAATCTAAATCTTTCAACTTCACTTTAAAAAAGTCAAAAAGATCTATAAAAATGGAATAAAATACTAAAAAAATTAAGTATTATTTTTTCACATGTGTAAACTTATGGGCTAGATTTTAGGACAGACACCACTCAATAGAAGATACCCTACAAATGATATGTAAATGTATATATTTAGCTTATTACTGTCTCTAATAATGCCTTGTGTTTAAATAGATCACAGCATAATCCTTGTACAAGATTTAAATACTTAATTGTTGTTGTTTTAAGTAATTGTTGTTACTTAATTGTTTGTTTTCAAACTACCTCGGTAGAGTGGTCCATATGGCAGTGTTTAATGCAGAAATCTTCCCCTTAAGTACCTTTTTCTTATCAAATTCCCGGCGCAATGGTTACAGTAATTTCTGCTAGCTACTCTATGGGATTCCCTGTGTTGTGTTAGCAACATTTCCAGTCCTGGGATTAATACTGCTCAATGCAGAACTACCAAAAACGTATACATTTGAAACCTGTAAAACATATGTAACATATTTTCTACATGATATGTTGCTTTTTTACAAAAAAATCCTTCAAGAGCACCAAAAATTGCTGTTTATACCAGGGAATTTGAAAAGTTTGGAGGGCGAGATGATGCACCTCCATCTCTCCTCCATAACTAGCACCAGCGTAGCTAAGTAGCTGCTGAGGCCTACATCATTAGGCAGCTAGGTTGGTGATGTCTGGACACACAAATCTGATCCATTTCCAAACAACAGTGTGGACAGTCGCCTCAAAAGATCCGATTTGAGAAACAGTCTGACCACAGCCTCACTGACTTTAAGTGGGAAATTGTGTAAATTTGCAAACTATCGCTTTAGGGATGCTCACTTTGCTTGTGGTTTGAAGGCAAAAGGACTTTTCAAAGGCTGGCCACTGTGGTCAATAGAGCCAGATGGTATGACGGGGCCTAAAGCCTGGATCTGGATTACCTCAACCTTCATCAAACGTTCATCAGACTCTAAATACAGGGTGAATGAACCATGGACACCATTCGATTCTTCAGGCTCTGCATCGGTTCTCCTTCATCTCCAAGCTCGATTCCTCCAGCTTCCTGACAACATTCCATTTCTCCTCCTCTCTCG